ATTTGGGCTCAGTTCAGCTTGTTCAATGAGTTTGACGCTGTCTCCCAGCCCGACGCCTGTAGGTACGCGCTGTTGCTGGGCCCTAGCGTCTGGTAATGGAGCCCCCAGTGTAGGAGGGATACAAATGTAAGTGATCGATTAAAGCCCAGTGTCATCCTGAAAGCAGTGGTGAACCACATGGAGAGGGGTGCAGGGGAGGGATGTGTCTGGTGTGTGTGCACCTGGCGTGTGTGGGGGGTGCCATGGGGCTATGGTGCCAGGCTGAGGGTGGCAGGCGCCTGGAGTCTCCTGGCTGCTCACCTATTTGTGCAAGTGTCTCTGGGGCTGGTGGTCTCCCCTGGGGCTGGAATCGTCAGCGTTTGGCGACTCGGGTGAGTGCTGTCTGACTTCCTCAGGTCGGTGGGATTATGAGGAATGGCTGTTAGGCCCTTTAGGACCCACTCAGAGACTTGAAGCCCATTCAGAAGGGGACACATGCAGAAAGAGGCAGGACCTTGCCCAAGCCACCTAAGATCTCAATTCTGGGTCTGGGTTCCAAGTGTAATTTTAGAAATAATTCTAGACATACAGAGGGAATATCTCCCCACCTTAGCACCCGGCCTGGTGCCTCCTTGTGATGTGGGAGCTGCTGGGACAATACCTGGATTTTTCTCGCCATTGACCTAGTAGGACTGAAGAAGCCTTCCCAGGGTGCACCTGGGAGAGAAGGGAGGAGACACGCACGCGATGGCCCTGGGTCCAGCAGAGGTGTACCTGGGGGTTTGGCTCCGTGTGCCTGGGTGGTCTTTCTAGGCTTAGACTCCTTCATTGTCCCAAGAGGCTCCGTCAGAGGGCTGAGTAATTACTTCCCTTGCTGAATTTCTTTTTCTGTCCGTGCCCTGGGGTTCTTGCTCTTCTCACCAGAAGGAACACCTGTGCACCTCTTCAGAGATGTGACCAGTGTGTCCTGATTTCCTGGGAGACTCTTGTTATTTCCATAAAAAAGTGTAGGTCTTGAGAATTGTCCTATTCCAAGAATGGCCTATTATCTTCTGAGACTTCAAATTTCTCACCAATGTTTTCTGAGACCCCGGAACAAACTCCTTCAGTTAGGGATGTCCCCAAGACTTCTATGCAACCTTGGGCTACTACCACTGACCCCAGAACTCCACCCAGCTTCGTGGAGTCAAGTAAGCTCCGCAAATTCCGTGTTTTCCTCCATCCCTGCTCCTCCAGCTCCAGAATGACCCACTGCCTCCCTCTGAACTTCGTCTAGTGGCTGAAAACTCTGCAAAAGGCCACTCTTTGCAGAATATTAGTCCCTGACATTTGGCTCTTCTTCAAGGACACTCTCTTCTATGGAAGGTTCTATAGGAAGACTGGCAGTTCTTTCAATCCCCATTCCGCAGACCAGGAGGCTACGCTCCACTGGCACCTTCGAATGACCCCCTCTTCCTCCTGGATGGAAACCTCTCCAGCCCTCTTCCCTTCTGGGCTATGTTGTCTGCCCACCCACTGGTTGTCTCCCATGTCCGGGGTCATTTTTTCCTCCCCGTCTTCCTGAAGCTGTTGTCTTGGTGAATTCTGTGTGTCTGTGATCCTCCTTCCCTCTCTCCTCCAGAGCTAGACTGCTCCTGTGCCGTGGAGCCCTGGTCTTCCTGTGACCCTGGGATCTGCTCCATGTGGTTCCCCTCCCTCCAGGGTCCTGCCACTCCTCACCACTCCCATCTTCAGATCAGGACTCCTGGACCTCCAAGACCCTTGGTCTCCATGGCGAGGGTTCTTTTAGTTGTAGTCTCATCTGCTTTTCCTCCCTGTGCATTTCTGTGGAGCCCACTGTAGCCTGGCCCCACTCCTGCCCTCCACTGCCCCTGCCCCTTCACTGCCCCTGCCCCTCTACTGAATGGCTCTCGCCCACTCTAGCGTTTGCTGTTGGGGCCTCTGATGAGTGGACTTCTCTCTACCCACTCCACTCCCTGACCGTGACTGACGTGACTGGTCCTTGGGACGAGCCTCTGACGTTGTTTCTCCACCTGCCCCCACGTGTGGCATCCACAGGAGGTGGTTCAGCCCTCTATCTGCCCTCTTCTCTCCACACACACTCCCTGCCTGTGCTCCAGCAGGTCCTCTGCTGAAGGGCTGCCTGGAGGATGATGCTCTGCTGCAGTCCGGCTGCAGCAAAATAACCAGGGGATGACGAACAACTTGTGTACGTTGATACAGCAGGAGTAGGAGCCGTTTATTGCAGGACAGGAGCAGTATTTATACATTCCACACAGCTTATCTAATTAGCATAAACTAGATACAGCAGTCAACCAATCAGGAATCTCCACACTTAATGGCTTGCTTTTGTTACTTCTCAAACCACTCCCTCTGGCATTTTGCCAGGCACCATCCAGACTTGTTTACGAACTCTAACATTCCCCTGGCAAAATGCCAGGTGTTATTTTGACTTATTTACAGACTCTAACAATGCTCTGTTCCCTGACCTTGAGCTCCAGCTCCACTGCCCTCCCCCCCCCCCCCGCCCCCTCAGAACACCAACCCCGGGCATTGCCTCCCCTCTGATTGTGAACTCCTGGAGGGTGGGGCTGTTCTCACCCCAGAACCTGGCCCAGGTCCTGGAGCAGGACAGGTGCTTGGGAAATGTGTATAATGGATGGATGAATTTGCTAATTACCGAGCAGTGTGCACTTTGAGTTTTTGTGTTACAGCAATCGACAAAGCCCTTTAAGCCCTTTATGTTTCCAAGCAAACAGGTGTGGCTTCTAAGGACCTCGGAGCAGTGATGATGGATAATTTTTGCCGCCCCAAACAGTCATCACTAGCGACTCCTGACTGCTGAGCACTTGAGTCTGACTCAGACGGAATCTTTTATTTTATTTAATTTCCGTTTATGTTTGAATAGTCAAAGCAATCACAGTGGCTGCTGTGCTAGATTGTGCAATTTTAGGGGAGTAATTAAGGATAGGTTCCCCCCGCCCCCACCCCCTGCTCTCAGTACTAGGGATTTAACCCAGGGATGCTTTACCACTGAGCCACATCACCAACCCTTTTTTAAAAATTTTATTTTGAGACAGGGTTTCACTAAGTTGCTTAGGGCCTTGCTAAACTACTGAGGCTGTCCTCGAACTTTTGATCCTCCTGTCTCAGCTCCCAAGCCATGGAATTACAAGGGTGGGCCACCACTCCTGGCTCAGAGTAGTTTTTAAAGCCAGACTTCCTTCTCCTCCCCACCCCATGAATCATTTCCTCTAACCCAATCCGTGTTTTGAAAAGGGGAAGCACTCTTCTGGGTGGATGTAGACTGCTGCAGGTGTAGACCGCATCGCACCTGCAGACACCTGGCACGGCACCTGCGGCAAGCGCCCCCTGTCGGCGGGAGGACCGCACCGCAGGCAAGGGGCCCGAGAGGTCGGGGCAAAAACAGCCCACCTTACCCACAGCTGTTGAGCCAATTTGTGTAAAGCAGATTTCCAGCCCAGGGTCTTCTGGGCATCTGTAAAAACCAAAATTCGCTTCTAAAATTAAATCTCCTTTTCAGTCCAAGTCTTAATAGCGATCTTCCCCCAAATGAGTTCCCAGGGAGGAGCCTCGCTAGGAGCCGGGGAATTTTGTGTAGTCCTGGAGGTTTGCTCAGAGTACTTGACTACTCTCTCTTCCTGCGGCTGGAGATCTAGAACCTCAGTGCCACCGCCCCTTGGGGCTGCGGATGAACCTCTTCTCTCAGCCTCTGCGTCTGCTCTCAGAGGTTAATTCCTGTGGCTGCACAGTTGCTGCTAATGCTCTTACCAAACCCAGCGACATTCCCAGAGGAATCCAATGGCAACAGTGACGTGCTTTACTCTGATGGCCTTTGGTGTGCACCAATTCATGGGCTTCTTGCAAAAGTTCTAGAGAAGGTCTCCTGCTGCCCATTTCACAGTGAGAATACCGAGGTCCAAAGCCAAGGAGCAATTAGCTACAGTTACATCTTCAAGCCCAGAATTTTTTCTTAAGGCATATGCTTGTTAAGTTCATTGCCCTCTAAAAAATGGTTCCACAAAATCATTTACTTGCAAAAGATTCATACAATGTAAATCAGGCAAAAAGCTTTTGACTTTCAAATTTGTTCCACCCTAGAGGTCATGGCTTTTATCCAGCGTTGCAATCAACTAGAGGTTTCCCGTGTTCACCTATAGCTTTGTTTCATGTTTTAGCAAAATTTACAGGAATGATATTGTCAACATTGTTACAAAACTAGCTTTTTAAACAATGTGCTTTATCTTAAGGGACATTTCTATGCTGTACATGTAGACCTACCTTGTGCATTTAATGTATTGTGGGTTATTTCAGGGCGTGCCTGGACCACAGTTCTATTCTTATTTAGCAGTGAGCATTTATTTACAGCTTTAGGTTTCTGCATCTGTGTGTCTCTTCATGTGTGTGTATAGCACGTGTGTAGGAAGCCCTAGGACAGTGGCCTTGCTAGGTGTTAGGGATCACATTGTTTTCAATGTGATCAGGGATACTGTCAAGTGGCTCTGTATGGGCCTCACAGTGTTCACCTGCCATCGAAGGCAGGGCCTGTGCCCACGTGCTTACATAGCTTGGGTGTTTCTTTTTACTATTGACTTTTATTTGGGTACCTCGCCATAGACGTATTTCATGTGTGAGCAGTCTATTCACGTCCTCGACCCACCTCCCCACTGACTTGCAGGTCTGGTTGATCTCATGAGTAGAGCTGTCCTGTGTCTGCCCAGTGCTCCTGCCCCTATCCCTTCAGGGAGCCACCCTCAGGACAAGCCCACTGCACACCCTCTTTCTCCAGCTCCTTGCCAATGGGGCTGGCTGGGGAGGGCTGTGCCAGGGCCACCCTACAGATGCGGCACACCTGGAGTTCCTGTCAGGGACACCGGAGAGGGCAGGCTGAGGTCTACAGTGCAGGGTGAGACCTGCCCTCCGGTCCTGAGCTGGTGGGGTGGAACCTGGGGATCATGATCGTAGGTGGCTCATGGTGACCAGATCATCAAGAAGAAAAATCATTTTTAAAACAAACTTCACTTTATTACATTAATTTTACACAGTAAAAGAATATAAAATGCAGACTTGTCTAGATTCTCTTGCTGATTCTCTTGAAGACAATGTCACCCACAGTCATGGTCTGAAAGCCAGAAAAGAAAACATGAATTGTTCACCTGATGTTAAATTGTAACAAAACAAAACAAAAACCAATTTCCCAAAATAGCCTAGGATATGCCAGATATATGAAACAAACAACTCAAAGATCCCACTGTTTTCTGTGGGACCGGAGGAAGCACTGGCAGTTTGTCCTAAAACCCTGTGCCAGCCTTCATCACTTCCCTTTTGATGTGGAGATCTGTCCTGCCATTTACTGAATTATCTTGTACATCGATGGCTGTTATAGTAAGACCACCCAAACCAGCCTAATCCAATCCAATTTCCCAAGGTTTCATTGAGCACCTATTATGCACCAAACACATGCTATGAGTGTCAAGGACACATGTACACAGACACATGGAGCGACTGGCCAGGAGCACGATGGCCCTCACCACTTTCCGCCCAGGGCTGAGTGGGGCAGTGACAGTGAGGTCTGTGTTATGAAAGGACGTGCCCTCCGCCCTGTGGGCACTCTGGAATGTGACAGCGGTGGTGACCTAGCAGGTGATGAAAGGAGCTCCTGAACTTGGGCAGCAGGGAGGGGCTGCCGCTGAATGAATGGGAGCCCTGTCAGGATGGCCCTGGACAGGTTATCCTGACTAGTGAGTCCCTTGTCCTGCCTCCCCTCAGGAGACCCGAGGATGAGGCCAGACGGAGGTTATGGAAGGCTGCTGGCTGGGGCTCAGTCCTGGCGGCTCAGCTCCACTGCCCTGCTCTGCCCTGCAAGTCCTGCTTGAGGGCTGTGGCTCTTGGGTGGGGACAGACTCCTGGGCAGCCTCCTTCTGCAGCTCCTTGAGCCTCGTGCTGGGGGCAACACTGCAGAGCGACAGGCAGATGCAGCCTGCGCTGGGGAGGCTGGCCAACGCCGGGTACTGGGGTGCCTCACCCCTGAGGGCACCGCCCATCAGCTGCATCAACTCGCCCCCAGGGCTTGTGGGTTAGTGCTGGCAGGAGGCAGGGCTGCGGCTCTGAACCTCCAAGAGGCCATAAAACAGGAAAGGCAATGAAGGAGCCTAACTCGACCACAGCCTCGTGGTGTGTGGCTGCTGTGTCCTTGGGAAGGGTGGCTCCAGGAGCCCAGAGGCCCGCAGAGGGACACCCGCAGACTGGCTGCATTTCCTCCCAGCGGGGACAGGAGGAGGTGAGCTGTGCCAGTGGCTGCTCATCCCTGTGCCTCTGTCCCCAGCTCCTCCCTCACGCCAAAGGTTTGGGTGTTCAGGCACCAGTTCAGCGACCACTGCCCCTAGCTCCATGCTGCTGCGGCTCCCCATCTAGAAACGCTGCTGTTGAGCCTGTGCGTGAACCACCCGTGCGTAAGGGCTCCTCCAGGAGTGGAAGGTGACACTGACAGCAGCAGCACACTTGGAGACTTGGGGCCGGGCTGGCAGGATGGGGGACCCTGAGCAGATCCTCACCCCCACCTCTCCTCTCCCAGCACTGGGAGCCGAAGCCCCGAGCACCAACTCACACTGGTGATGATGTCACCGTTGAGTTCAGTCACAGACTTGATGTTTTTGATAGTTGTCACCAGCTTGTTGTCACCTTCCATGTTGACCACTGTCTGCAGGAGACGGAGAGGGCCTATGAGGAGGGGTCTGGGAGTGGGCAAGACCCTCGCCATGAGCCTGGCTCCCCTGCACAGGGTCAGCTTCCAAACACCCAAACTCCCGGCCCTGTGCTCCCAGCGGCCTCTCGGGATCCAAGGAGCGAGGTGCACTTCAGAAGGAGAGAGGAGCCAGCACCGTGCGGCTGGAAGTGCATTCTGTGGCATTGACCCAGAAAGACCCCAGGATCTAAGTGTTCCCAAACACAAATGCTAGGATAGAATCAACTAAGGTCCCTATTCTCCAAGCTGGTGGAGGGAGGTCAAATTCACAGTGCTGGCCAGCTGAGAGAACACATGGCTTGCTTTGGCATGTAACCCATCCTTCCAGAACATTCCTCTTTCCTCCTGCAGCCCCCCTTCCGAGCTGGAGGCATGCCGAAAGAGGTAACACAGAAACCCAGCCAGGAGCAGAAGATGCTGGCCAAGGTGAAGCTCTGGCCTCCAAGCATTCCAATGGAAAGGCCTATGGAAAGGGGACCCTGTGGGCCTGAGCTCTGGAGTCCCCTCCTGGCTCACACATCACGTCTGCAGGGGAGAGGTGGAGGGCAGCCGGGAGAGGCACAGGGACACCTGGGAGCAGAGGAGACAGGCTCTGTGGCTCTGGCTCCACTGGGTGCACATGGTCTTGTGGGGCACCTCAGAGGCCCATGGAGATGGTGCCGTAGGACAGGCACCACGGCATGCACACGGCCCTGCCCAGTTCCCATCGCACCCCAGGTTGGCAGCCTGTGCCATGAGGGAGCCAAGGTCGGGAAAAGCCGGGTCTGTGCTCCTGCCGAGGCTTGTGGTCCTGTGCTGCCGGCACCTCTGGAGACCTTCCCCACACCCTCTGCTCTGGGCTCATCAAGGGCCTCACAGACACCTGCTGGGCACCTCCGAGGCCCTCAAGAGCCAGGGGTGTTGGGCCCGGAGAACATGAGCCTCAGAGTCCTGCTCTGAGTGGGCTTCCCATGTGGCCGAGCACCTGGGATGGAACCAGGGAATATGAAATGGGCTTCCCCAGGGCCGTCTGCTGCCCTCCCCTCATGGGGTGCCCGCAGTGGGAACTGGGAGGCTCAGGCAGGAAGCCTCGGAGGCAGAGGTGGCTGCAGGGGCGCCTCTTACCTTGATCTTCTCCCCGGTCATGGTCTCCAGCTCACACTCCTCCCCCAGGGTGAACTCGTTCTGGATCACCTTGGAGCCGGTGGTGATGGTGAGCTTGAAGTGCTTCCCGTTCTGCACCACCTCCGACACCCCCTTGAGGTCCTTCCCCTTCTGGATGAGGTCATCGGGCAGACCTGGGGAACCAGGAGGCTTAGAGACGGCAGGGTGGGGTATAAAGCTGGGCAGAGAGAGACTGACATGGGGGCAGGATGGCACTGACCCCCAAGGCCTGAGAGCCCGGGGCTTTGGCCTCCAAAGGGAAGGTGGGTGGCGCCGGGCCTGCCGCCATCTTGCCATTTCATTCATAGAGGATGCTCCTGTGCTTGGAACCTTCCCTCTGCGGCTCCCTGCCTCCCACTCACAGCCACTCCCCTTCACTCGGCTCTTGGAGTGTACGCAGTCCACCCTCCACACCCCGAGGCACCAGAGCTTCCTTTCTCCAGACCAGGTCACTCCTGAGATGGCGGGGGCTATGGACACCCAGGCCAGACCAGGCACAGTTGGGCAGTGCGGGCTGTGGATAGGTCTTTGTATCAGCGGGGGGCTGATTGGCTCCTCTGCGGTGATGCTCATTGAGCTGTTTCCCGGCCCTTTCAGACTGCCAGCTGATGGCGGGCAAAGCGTTCCTTATAGAGTTGGGTGCGGGGTACCTCCTGACAACAGGGTGGCACTCCTGGTATGGGTGGGCATTTGGACACACAGGTGTGGGACCTGCTGCACATGGGGGCTCTGGGGGTCCCTGGAGGCCTTCTTTCCTGTCCCTCCCCCAGCACCCTCCCTCTTCCTGCTGCACCCTCCTCTCCAGGCTACCCCCCCCCCGCCAAGCAGGCGCCCTCCCCAGCCCCTGGTGGCACCTGCTCATCTTCCAAGGCTCAACCTCCCTCCACACCCTCCTGGACCTGGGGAGGCCAAGGGGTTAACGCAGGCCTCTGGGCCCAGAACCTATGTCCAGTCCCATCCAAACCCTTCCCACTATGTGACCCTGGCCACAACTACCCAGCCTTTCTCAGCCTCAGTTGTGAAATGGGGAACTCACTGTGCCCATCTCAGCAGTTTGTGAGATTGGTGGGGCATTGAGGATCCTGGCTGGGCACGGTGCCCTACACATCAGGGGGCACCTGCTCACATTCATCTCTGCTCTCTAAACTGCGCCCTGGAAATGTGGCTCATTGTCATCTGTCTCCTTGGTTATCTGTCCAGCACAGACCTTGATGTGTGCCTGGCCTGGAACCAAGGCTGGCATGAAGGGATAAAGGGATGGCTGGGTGGGTGGGTGGGTGGGTAGATGCATAGATAGGTGGATGGATGGGTGGGTGGGTAGATGTGTGGATGAGTAGGTGGATGGGTGAATGAGTAGATGAATGGATGAGTGGATGGATGGGTGGGTGGGTGGATGAGTAGGTGGATAGGTGGGGGGGTGGATGGATGGATGGTTGGGTGGGTAGATGTGTGGATGAGTAGGTGGATGGGTGGATGGGTGGGTGGGTGGGTAGATGGGTGGATGAGTAGGTGGATGGGTGGATGGGTAGATGGATGGGTGGGTAGATGGACGGATGGACAGGCTCACACAGTGAAGTTCCAGAGAACATGAGCTTCAGTCCAGATCAGCTCTCTTTTCACTGGCCGTGGGTGGCCTTGTCCAGGGAGTCACAGCGCATGTGGCAAAAGACTGCAAAAGCCCGCTCACTGACCCTAGTCCAGTGTGCCTCAGCCTCTCCTCCATCTCAGCCTCAGGCCCTGGAGCCACCCCAGTAGGGCCAGACTTGCCGCCTGTTCAGCACTCACCAATTGCTTTCATGAAGGGCTCGAAGTTCTCCTGGCTCTGCAGCTGGTACTTGCCGGAGAAGTTCATGGTGGCGGCGAAGCTCCCTGTGCCCACTGACACTGCTGGCTGGGCTGCTCAGTGCTGCAGCTTTATAGGGGCTTCTTCCCTTTCAAATATCGGCCATAGGTCAGTAGCTGTCGATTTCTTTATGGCCAGGTTCAAACATTAACTTCCGAGAGCAATGGTCAACGATAAAATCCAGGATGGGCACATCAGAGGTTTTCCCTACTCAGCAAACAGTGATGATGCCAATCAGGGCAAGCCCGAGGGCCCTGCAGCCTCTCAGTTGAGTGCCCACCCATCATGGAATGTGCATGCATGCACACTGTGTACAGGTGTGTGTGCACGTGTATACACACACATGGGGTGAGTGCGCATCTGTACATGTACATGTTTGTATGTGTACTGCCCACACGTGGATGAGTGTGCATCTGTACGTGTGCACGTTCGTATGTGTACTGCACACATGTGGGTGAGTGAGCATCTGTACATGTGCATGTTCATATGTGTACTGCTCATGTACACAACACACCCAGTTTGGGCTCAGAACCTTCCTTCCTTACACGGCCTTAGGGTTGGTCCCCACTGCTGTCATTGTCACAGAACTGTCATTGCCTGTCACATCTCCACAGTCCAAAGCTCTCCTGCATGAAGTGCTGAAGTGGCCTTGGCTGCGTGAGGGGCAAGCTACTCACACCCTGTGTGTGCAAATGGGGAAGCATTTCTTTGGCAGGACATGGTCAGGGAAAGGAAGAAGGAGGGCTCTGCTGACTCACCCCAACAAGGGACAAGGGACGGGTGACATGTGCGAGCTTGACCCTGCACTTGCAGAGACCTGAGGCTGCTCTAGCCTGTCTCGAGGTGCAGTGGATCCGCATCCCCCACTTCCACACCTGAGGGGCTCTGGATGAGCACCGCCCACTTCTCTCGCTACCCCGTCTGGATCAGATGCCAGTCTCTGCATCAGCAGCAGCCCGTCCCTGACCACCAGGCCTGTCCACTCTCGGCAGCACAGATCATCCTGACATGCAGCCTGAGCACATACTCCTGTTTCAGCCTCCAGGGCTGCACGTCACTCAGAGGCCACAGGCCCTGGGCATCTGGAGGGTGCTGGTGTCCTGTGTCCTAGCCAGACGACCCCCCCAGCAGCGCTGTCCTTTGCTAGCATGAGCTCTGGTTTCTACCTGGGAAGTGATTGCCCTGCTCCACTTCTAGCAGGGTTGCCAGTCTTGCGAAACCCAGCCCCGAGTTACCTTGCTGCCCTTTCCCCTCTTACTCTGCGGGCCACAGTCTCAGGCAGGCGCTCACATGGGGCGACTGTGCCTCTGTCTGCACTCACGGGGCTCCTCTGCCCTCCTCCGCCTGTCAACCGCGTGGCTCCTCCATAAGCCCCCGGGACTGCAGCTCTGCCAACCTCTGTGTCCTGAGGCCTGCAGGACGCCTTCCTGTGCCTTCTTTCCTGAGGGTTTTCCTTGCCTTCCCCAATACCCGGCACATAATAGGACCGCATCAGAGACGGATCAGCAAATAAGAACCATTGAAGCTCCCGAGGCCATGCTCTCCTGGTTGAGGGAAAGAGAGATGGTCAGCGATCCTCCGCCCTGCCAGCCAGGAGACAGGGGGCTGGTTTATCATGATTAGTACGCATGTCTGAATGGGCTGCAGCTTGGTGGAGAGTCCAGTGGGGCGGGTGTGGGCAGGGCTGGCAAGGTGTACTTCCAGCCTGAACCTCCCAGTCCCGCGTGGCCTTTCTCCTCTCTTGCCACCCGGCTCTGCCATTCTGGCCTATGCTGAGCAGGTGGCTTCAGAGCCCAGACTCTGAGCTCCTGGACAGCTCTGTCCCCTCCCCAGGGACCAAGTAAGTAAGGGACCTTACTTGCAGCACAAGTCTAAACGCTCATTGCCCAGCTGCTGTCCCCTGCTCTGTCCCCAGCAGCTGGCTGGGCAGTGGGCTGTCTGCTCTGGTAGCCAGGCAGCCTCAGCGTCTGGTTGGGCAGGAGACGGGAAACGTGGGTGGATAAGAGCTCACACAGGGGCATCAGTGCCCTAGGAGGCACCCAGGGAGCTCAGGCCGATGCAGCCGCACCAGGCATAGCTGTGGCTCTGTCCCCTGCGTCCCCCACCCCAACCTTTGTGCCTCCAGGGTTTACATCTGCTGTTCTGGAAATGCTCTCTGCACCCGCATCCCTGCCGGGGGCGGGGGGTGTCAATAGGCACCCTGCCATCTGCCGACAGCGTTGGGCACACTGGAGCACGTGGCCCCCTGAGAACTCTGGCCATTCCTAGGCACCACAGTCACCTGGGCACAGGGATGGGGATGGGCAGGGGCCTCAAAGGACGATGGGCACAGGCATGGCCCTGTCGTCTTGCTCTATCTTGACTTCATGTCTTTTGATGTGACTCGCTGTCCTGAGGGCTCATTTGGACTCCAGTCTCCAAGTGGAACCCTGCTCTTCCATTTTTCTCTAAGTGAGAAAGTAAAAAAGCCATTATTATTTTTTTAATTATTATTATTATTATTTTTTTTTGTAAAAAAGCCATTATCTCAGGAAGTGGCCTGAGAATTCCTCTTGGAGAGGGTGTGTGTATGTGTGTGTGTGTGTGTGTGCGCACGCGCGCACGTACAGGATAAGCTGCTCGGGAGAGAGGGTGGGGAGCCCCCAGACCTGTGTGTCCTTAAGAGGCGGGTGGGAGAAGACACAGGCTGTCCCGATGTGCAGGGGACCACTGAGGACCCAGGGAGAGGGGAGAGGAGAGGGGCCCACAGGAGGGCTTGGGGTGGGGTCACTTGCAGTTCCCAGTGGCCACAGGCTAAGGTCCTAGGAAGCTGCCTGTCTGCGGCAGAGTGAGTGCCTGTCCATCTGTCTCTAGGTCCCTCTGGTGTGACTGCGAAGGCTGTGGTGAGACGCACTATGTGAATCACAAGTCATTGTTAGGAGCGAGAGTGTGACCTCGGCGGGCCTATGACAGCTCAGGCAACTAACCTGGAAAGCAGTGTGGCAGGAAGCTGAGGGTCCACAGGGATGCCCCAGAGGGGTCCCCAGAAATCCAAGGAACAAAGCTCATTTCAGATAGACTCTGGAGTCCCGTGTGCCCCAGATGGCATCTGGGTCATCTACGTTGCCTAAACCTGGGGTGACAGCCGGCCTGTGTCTGTCTGATGAGCAGCGGTCGAGCCCAAGGCTAAATTCAAGATGTCCCGAGACCTCCTCCACCAGCCTCCCTTACCACCTGAGGACCGTTGCCAACACCTGTGGAGGAGTGGATGGGAAAGGGCTTGGGGTGGCGGAGTAACCAGAAGAAGAGAGCACGCCCGGTAGGCACGAGGCCCTGAGTTTGAGTCCCAGCATGGCAGAGAGAGAGAGAGAGAGAGAGAGAGACAGAGAGACAGAGAGACAGAGAGAGAGTTTAGAGTCTTACAACTTAAAGCCAATGAAACAAATAACCCCTGTGTAACAAGAGCAATGGTCATCGCCGCCCCACCCATCAAGTGCGCAGGGGCCGGATCCGGGCAGCCCTCACCCTAGGCACTCTCTTGCACCCTGTAATCTCCACACAGAGCCCCTTCCCTTGACCACAGGCTTCAGAGGGCTGGGCCAGTGCAGCCCTGAGTCTAGGGTGGGGAGTGAGGGAAGGGCAGGTTCCCCACAGGGAAGGTCAGCCTCCATCCCAGGACCCCTGGGGAAGGCCCAGTCCATGTGACTCTCTAAGAGCAGGGCCCATGGCCATCTCCCCGTGGATGCCCTGCCTGGCCCCGCACTTCTTACTCTGAACAGGCAACTCCTGCAGACGAGGAACAGCACTGGGAATGTGACTCAGGTTGGTCAAGAGCTGGCACAGCTGGTGAGGAAGTGACCGCTCCCCAGAAGGGTCAACGCCCAACAGGCAGAGAACAGGGGAACCAGGCTGATGGGTGGGAGGCCAGGAACCCCCTCCCCCAGCTCCAGACTGGGCCATTAACAGGCAACTAGGACCCCCCCCCCCGTCCCGGGTCTGGAGTGTGTGTGTGTGTGACTTGAGACCACAGGCATTGTAGCCATTTCAAAACCTAACACTCATGAGTAGTTTTCCATAAAATTAGGAGAGGGTAATGACATCTTCCACCCACTGGCTGAGCAAACATAGGAGATAAGCTGAATTACAATGACAAAGTTCAAGTGGCTTTCAGAGAAAAAAGGCTCCAACTCCCTGGGCACAGCCCTGCGTCTGTCAAACCAGAGATGGCGCAGCCCCACCAGGTCCGCTAGGCTTCCCCCTCCTCATGCTGCCTACGCAGATGGGAGTGCGTGCGCTTGGTGGTGGCCAGGAGGTGATCAGCATTCATTTTAGAGCAGGCACCTCTGCAGGTGTGTCTGACCCTGGGTGCCCGCCTGCTGCGCCAGCTTGCCTGTTTCCTGGGCATTTTGGAGGCAGACAGTGCCCCAGGAGCCCAGGGCTGCAGAGCAGAAGGGCAGGGCCAGCTCTGCTTCACCCACCGCGTGGTCCTGGAACCTCCTGCCTCCGCCTCCCCGTCTGTTAGATGGTCACGGGGTTCTTGCTCTTGTGAAAGATCCATGTAAACTGCCAAGTCCTCAGGAACACGGAGCTCACACCACAGGGGACCAGGGCCCCTTGCGTTTGTCTCTCAGGGTCCTAGGGGCCACCCTGGCCCAGGATCCATCTTTCAGTTAATCCCCTGGCTTGGCGGCAAGCTTCCTCCCATCTCCTGGCCAGTCACGCTTTGCTGACGGTCACCCAGGTCGCAGGCCTGAGGCTCCGCTTGGCTCCTGCAGGCTGTGGACTCGAGCGCCTGGTCACCTGGGCTTAATTCCAGGTCTGCCAACCACTCGGGGGCCCAGCCTCCATCCGGGGCTTCCTGCTCTGCCTTCCTACCCGCTGTCCTGGCACCTGGGAGTCTCACTTATTTATTTTTCTCCTGTGACTTTGGCCACTCTAGGCCACGCTTCAGCCACAGCGGCAGCCATGCTGGGGGCTTCATTGGCTCAGTTGCTCACTCCGTTGGTGCGGGAGGACCTGTGCTTGTACACACTGTTTTAAGACTTTCCTGTAGGACCCCTGGATGAACATACATTAACAAAAACAGTTTTAAAGACATTGTTAGGCATCATTGCACGTGTG